TAAGATGTGCACCTTCATATGATAATCCTATACTGCACGAATATGACAGTATCCTGAGAAATACTTTTCCGAAAGTATTTAACCGTACTCTACAAGATGGGCTGTGGGATCATGCTACACTTCCAGTCAAACTATAGGCGGCATTGGTTTCCGCAAGTCATCACAGATTGCGCTACCTACTTTCCTGTCCTCATGTGTTGCATTCAGTGGACTTGTAGCAGCGATTCTCCCTGAACATCTTAGGGACAAGACTGGAGTCCATGACCAAAAGTTCGTTGATGGACCCATGATCTGGGATAATCTAACGGGCTCTGAAACTAGACCTGCTTCCCCCAACAACTACAAACAGTTACACTGGGATGGCCCAGTAGTGGAGAATATAGCCTCAACAATGGTTCAGAGTTTGTCGGGGAAGGACAGAGCCCTCCTCCTGGCAGTGAGAGGTCCTCATGCAGAAGACTTTCTGTTGGCTGTTCCCAACTCTAGCCTTGGCACACGCCTCCACCCACAGACCATCCACAATGGTGTTGACCTTCGACTTGCCGCCCCTATTCTCGCCGATCACGGGTGTATTTGTGGCAGTGAAGCAGCAGGCCGATTCGGGTACCATGGTATTGTGTGCTGTAAATCCGAGGGAAAGATTGCAAGGCATGAAGAGGTTAATAACATCAAGAGGAGCCTCACAACAGCCGGATGCCCAGCAATAAGGGAGCTATCCAAATATGCTGATCTGAATGCAGCCAAAAGTGCCCCGATGGTATCACCCTTCAAGCCTGGACAGACGGCAAGCAGGTGGTGTGGGAATACACATTTGCATCTACCTTGGCTGATACCTATATCCAATATACCAGGGAGGAAGGAGGGGCAGCTGCCAGCTTCAGGGAGTCTCAAAAGTCCAGAAAATACGGAGAGCTTGCCCATCATTATATGTTTGTTCCCAAAGGCTCAGAGACCCTTGGCCCATGGGGAAAGAGTTCATGTTCACAGAGATAACGCCTGCTGTATCTTCGGTACGCGCCCCAGACCTGAAGAGGTGGATGAGATTTTCTCATTATAATCAGGGACAAACACGTAGCAATATGTACTAGAAATGTATCTCTCAAACCTCATATACTGTATATGCCATATTTACACCAGCAATGTATCTTTTAATTATTTTGTACCATATTATGTAATAAATTATACCTATTGGTAAAAGATTGAAAGATGGGGTGGTAGGGGAAGTGGAATATTCAAATGGCTTTAGGAAGATATCCAAATATTCTTCCTCGAAGCCTTTTTATCCACTTCCCCAAGTCTATACGTCCCACAATTTGCACCAGAGGTGGACCCCATTATATATATATATATATATATATATATATATATATATATATATATATATATATATATAAACGATATTTTTATATAATACAAAGAATAAGGAATATATAAATAACGATATTTACTCTGGAAATAGATCAAATATCTTCATGTATATTATATACTCAGGGTAGAGACAAAAATGGTTGGACGAGTGTTTGGTAAGTGAAATCAGAATAGTATTAATTTATACCGCATGTTGCAGTAGTAAGTAGTTATTAGTCAGTAGTAGTAGTAGTAGTAGTAGTAGTAGTAGTAGTAGTAGTAGTAGTAACTAAGCCAGTAGTAGTAGTAACTTAACCAGAAGTTGTAACTAAACCAATTGTAGTAGTAGTAACTAAACCAGTAATAGTACATAAACCACTAGTACTAACAGTATTAGTAGTTGTAGTAGCAGTTGTAGTATTATTACTGTTAGAAGTAGTAGTAGAACTAAACTAGTAGTTGTTGTAGTAATAGTTGTAGGAGAAGTAGTAGTAACTAAACCAGTAGCCGTAGTGGTAACAGTAGTAGTAGTAGTTGTTGTAGAAGTAGTAACTAAACCAGTAGTAGTAGTAGTAATAGTAGCAGCAGTAGTAGTAGTAGTAGCATAGTAGTAGTAGTAGTAGTAGTAGTAGTACTAGCAGTAATAGAAACAGTAACAGTTGTTGATCCTGTGGATCTCTCAGCGCTCATAGCCATAAAAACATATACAACATACAATAATATGGATAACATTAAAAGACAGTGAAAGCCCCCGATTTCAATAAAACGAATATCTAAAGACACTTTCCCAGCTTTTTAAGTTAGAAAAAAAATAAGCGGAGACGCGTTTTATTATTTTCAAAGAGACTCATTTGTCACTGTATTTACATAACTAAAAACTGAAAAAGCCAGTTAATATATTTCCGTCACAATTGTGTTATTTATGTAGATCAAATTACAGAATATCTCCATTGTAAACAACGATTTTTTATTTTCCTAACTGACAGGTGCGAAAAATTTGAATTGAGATTGATTATCATGATTAAACACGTTTGAAAAAAAATATGTTTATTTTTTTCGTGTTGTTTCATAAAATCCGAGCACGGAAATGAGTGGGTATATAGTAGAATCTAACAAACGCACTCACGTACTGACTCTCTCTCTTCCCTCCATTGTCGGTTTAGCGATTTCTTTTATTATAAGAATAATCTCTCTCTCTCTCTCTCTCTCTCTCTCTATTCTCTCATATATATATATATATATATTATATATATATATATATATATATATATATATATATATATATATATATATATATATATATATATATATATATATATATATATATATATATATATATATATATATATATATATATAATATTTTATATATATATATATATATATATATATATATTATATATATATAATATATATATATATATATATATATATATATATATATATATATATATATATATAAATATATATATATATATATATATATATATATATATATATATATATATATATAATATATATATATATATATGTATATTAATATATATAAATAAAATAATTTATATAATATATATATGTATATATATATAGATATATATATATATATATATATATATTAAGATATTTATAATATATATAATATGCAATAAGATCACAATAAACAGGTGATATTGCAATATGAAGAACAACCTCTGTGAAAAAAATAGTGAAATTCCAGGCGCTTTCGTGACTTCTCACATTGTCAGAACTGTAAAAATAAAAGGTTAACAGGAAGGCTATAAAGACAGACTACACTCGTGCTACTCCACAAAACACCTACCTTTTATGATGATGTAGGTAGGTATCAGTGATCCTGAACACAGTTATCTACCCAAAAATTTGTCTAATATACCATAAATTCTTCCCAAATTTTATTAATTATGAATGAATCCAATTTATATAAATCAAAAGAAATATTAATATTATTTTCAAAACTACTTTTTATGAAACATGATTCTAATATATTCCTGTTGACTATGGACTTGCTTGATATAACTTTCTCAACATTTTTAAAATCAATTGGATGGTTAAAATCTCTCATAAGTATAAACAGAGCATTAGAATCTTGTCCACTTCTAATGCTATATTTATGTTATTTTAACCTAAGTTCAAGACTCTTACCAGTTTAGCAGCACTTCATCACATATTTGACAAGGAATTTATAGACACATCCGTCAGCAATTTGGGGGGATTTTTTTATCAAGAGTCTTTAACTGTGTCAAGATTATTAAATATAACTTTGATATTAAAATTATTAAGTAGAGAACGTATATCAACCAAGTTTTCATGGTAAGGGAGAACCAACATATGTATTTTTAGTTGAATAAGGTTTGGTTGTCCCTTTTTAAATTATAAAAAGTATTTTTAGCTATTTTAAAGGACTTTATCAATTAAGTGTAGAAGCTGGGTACTGATCCACTGGAGAATTCGGGTGATAGCCAGGCATCGAAGCCCAGTGTGTGCGGAGGCTGGATATTCATCATACTGAGAGATTAGATCTGGTCCTTAATGGGAGCTGCTTGCTGGTTTGGTAATATTGTGAGTATCCGGTCCGCAAAGCAGGCGTTGCCCTGTATTCCCTGAAACCCAATTTCTCGCGTGTTTTATGTTATTAAATCCCCTTTGCCCGTGTCCTTGAAAAAGTGCACAATAGTGTACCATTGTACACATTTCTTTGTAACTAACATAAGGTAACCCGAGTTACATTTTAGTAGACCTATCTTTTCCCTAATCTTATTCTTATATTCCTAAAGGAAACCAATCAAGTTTGGTCCTTGATTCCCTAGCATCCTTAATTTCATTTGAATAGTATTGCGTAATATTCAAATTAAAAGTAAAGATATGTCTATTATAATTTAACCTCTCATTGACTATTCCTCGTCTGTTCTCATTATAATAATAAGCGGTATTACCGATGTGATGGGAAGTCCGCACTTCCCTGGATAAATCAAGTGGTACTGGAAGGGAAGGAGTCCACTTAAGCGGACTAGGAGATATCTAAATACTCTACTTCTGTCTTAAAAGAGTTTGCTGAGATATTTTGAAAAGGCTTGAGATTCTTTGACATATATATAATTTTAAGTGGTATAATGGTCTATTATTCCTCAGCAGTCAGGATCTTTTAAGTGGTGTTCAGTAATGAATAATCACTCGAGCTTTAGGTAGCGATTGGCTATGTGGGCTGTTAAATGTTTAACTTCGCTGTAAGGAGTTAAGTGTATTAAAGTGCACATTTTAACAACTCTGTGGATAGTGACTGAAATAAAAGAGTACTTTCAAGGGAACAGTGAGAATAAGAAGAGAGTTCTTCCAACCTTTATCTTAGGATACAGAGCCTTTAACCTAGCATTTACTTCGCTGTGGGAAGATGCAAAATAACGTACACATAACAGTTTGAAAATGGAGAAGATATTTGACTTTAGAAAAATTTAATTATAATACGGAAAAACGTGGCTATGGGAAAACATCAGAGGCAGGATCCCACAAGGAAAAGTAAAAGACTTGAACGTATTTTTCTTAATAAATGAGCTGCTATAGGTAACGAAAAACAATTAAGACTTGACAACACTGACGTACCGCAACACAAATCTGACGCTTGACACAAAGTTGACGTACCATGTCTGTAACTTGGACCTTAAAGCGGAAGCCTCGTCTGTGGTCGGCGTCCTCGTAGTCCAGGGTTTCGGTTGCTCGTAGGTTTCCCCAGGGTAGAGCCGCCCCGCCGTCACCGCTGCCACCCTCCACCCGAAACATCTGCCACCCACGCCCGCTCCCTGGCACAACCTGCATGGACAACCTAACCTCATAATAGCGATTGTTTTCTAACGCATTTGACTGCGTTTATGTTAGAACGAACTAAACAACCACCTCTTCTGGTTAACTAGGCTACTATTACAAGATCTACGTTAATTTAAGATATTTTAGATTAAATTTGACAAAGGTAGATTAACATTAACCTATTTATACTTAATTTTAATACACACACACACACACACACACACACACACACACATATATATATATATATATATATATATATAATATATATATATATATATATATATATATATATATATATATATATATATATATATATATATTCTTCTTCTTTCTTCTTTCAACGTACCAGCCGTATCCCACTGAGGCGGGGTGGCCCAAAAGAAAAAACTGAAGTTTCTCCTTTTAAATTTAGTAATATATACAGGAGAAGGGGTTACTAGCCCCTTGCTCCCGGCATTTTAGTCGCCTCTTACGACACGCATGGCTTACAGAGGAAGAATTCTGTTCCACTTCCCCATGGAGATAAGAGGAAATAAACAAGAACAAGAATTAGAAAGAAAATAGAAGAAAACCCAGAGGGGTGTGTATATATATGCTTGTACATGTATGTGTAGTGTGACCTAAGTGTAAGTAGAAGTAGCAAGACTTACCTGTAATCTTGCATATTTATGAGACAGACAAAAGACACCAGCAATCCTACCATCATGTAAAACGATTACAGGCTTTCGTTTTACACTCACTTGGCAGGACGGTAGTACCTCCCTGGGCAGTTGCTGTCTACCAACCTACTACATTATATATATATATATATATATATAAAATATATTATATATATATATATATATATATATATATATATATATATATATATATATATATATATATATATATATATATATATATATATTGCTAAAGACACGTGTATTTATAAATGGTTCATAAAATGGGACTAATAAAATTTGTTAATTATATTAGAGAGGCTAAGCAAGGGTATAATATAATATAATATAATATAATATAACAAAAATATATGTATTACTATAACAGAGGGAAAATAAACAAGAAAAAGCTTCTCGGAACAACTCTGATTGAAATTAGGACCGTGATTTTCTTTCGATAAGTTTATGAATTAGACACAGATGCAACATCTGGACATCTTTATTAAGAGATGTTTCGCCCACTAGAGCCTTCATTAATGCTAAAGCGTCCTGTAGGAGTCACCTACATCCATTAGTGGGCCCCGCCCCCATGTGACCACCATTACTACTCCTGCATCGCTCTACTTTTTCCACCTCAGTTGGCTCATGTCCCTGTGTTAGATTGTTTAAGTGCCCGGTGGGTGAAATGTATCTCAATAAACATGTCTAAGTGGTGTTGCACATGTGTTTTATTGAATGAGGCAGCAACTGAAGCTCACTCAATAAATCACAGACACACACAGACACACACATTTCCCAAGAAAAGCCTCAGTTAAATGAGTTAAGTTCCAAACAGAGTCCAACACCCGAGTTTCATTTACACTATTTTAAGACGAGCAGCTTCCTATGTTAAACTTATTTGATACTGGTACTAAGTAGTCTTGCTTCCTCTTCGTCTAAGTAAAAGTTTATTATGCTCCTGTTGTAAGGGATCTAGAGCTTTACAAAACAATCAATATTGTTATTATTATTAGTAGTAGTAGTAGTAGTAGTAGTATTAGTATTAGTATTAGTATTAGTATTATTACTAATGTCTGTATTTATGTTGTTCAGTTGACATTTTGTCAATGGAAATATGTTAAGTTGCCTGGATAATCCGATAGTCATGATAACTCTACAGTGCCAAGAGAATTCAACAGTGCATGATAACACTGTCAAGATAACTCAACTGTATCAAGATAACTCAGCAGTGTCAAGATCTCAACACTGTCCAGAAAGTTAAGCAGTGTCAAGATAATTCAACAGTGTCCAGAAAATTCAGCAGTGTCAAGATAACTCAACAGTGTCAAGATAACTCAACAGTGTCAAGATAACTCAACAGTGTCCAGAAAATTCAGCAGTGTCAAGATAACTCAACAGTGTCAAGTAAACAGGGTCAAGATAACTCAACAGTGTCAAGATAACTCAGCAGTGTCAAGATAACTCAGCAGTGTTAAGATAACTCAACAGTGTCCAGAAAATTCAGCAGTGTCAAGATAACTCAACAGTGGCAGAATAACAGTGTCAAGATAACAACATCAACATAACTCAATGAATGTATCAGCATCCAGAAACAGACGGCGCACAGCATGAAACGTGTAATATAACAGAAGTCTTCAGTAGCGTGGATCCAGCACTCTAACACTTAGTAACATAACACGTTGTTAATTAACTGAATATGTGCGATAATGACATTATTTCCAGTGATCCAATTAACACATCGAATAAGTGTCGAGTATGGAGTGGTCGAGAAACTAAGCAGTGTAGGTTCACAGTGTCTGGAGTGGTGGTGAGAGAACTAGCAGTGGTCCAGTCGGAGGTGTAGAGAACTAGCAGTGGGTCAGTCTGGAGTGTGGATGGAAACTGACCAGGTGGTCAGTTGAGCGTGGTGGAGATAACTGAGCAGTGTGTCAATCAGACAGTGGTGAGAAAATCAGCAGTGGTCAGTCCTGGAGTACGTGTCAGAGAACCAAGGCAGTACAGTGTAGTACATCATCTCAAGAATGTGGTGTCTGAACTAGACGCAGGTGGAGTTCAGTCGGAGTGGGGTGAGAACTTGAGGCAGACGTGTTCAGTTGGAGTGATTGTGGTAGAACTGATTCAGTGTTGGATCCATCGAGAGTGTGGTGGTGGTGTGAGGAACTAAGCAGGTGGGTCAGTCTGGAGAGGTGGTGGTGTTGTGGAGAACTGAGCAGGTGGGTCAGTCTGGAGTGGTGGTGGAGAACTGAGCAGGTGGGTCAGTCTGGAGTGGTGGTGGAGAACTGAGCAGGTGGGTCAGTCTGGAGTGGTGGTGGAGAACTGAGCAGGTGGGTCAGTCTGGGGAGTGGTGGTGGAGAACTGGCGGGGGGTCAGTCTGGAGTGGGGGAAATGAGAGGTGGGTCGTCTGGAGTGGTGGGGGAAACTGAGCAGGTGGGTCAGTTGGAGTGGTGGGGGGAATGAGAGGTGGGTCAGTCTGATGGGGGTGGGAATGGCAGGTGGGCATTGGAGTGGTGGGGGGGAGAAAAGAGAGGTGGGCATTGGGGGTGGTGGGGAATGAGAGGTGGGTCAGTTGGGGGTGGTGGGAACTGGGGGGGTCAGTCTGGGGGTGGTGATGGAGAACTAAGCAGGTGGGGTAGTTGGAGTGGTGGGAGAAATGAGCAGGTGGGTCAGTTGGGTGGTGGGGGGAATGAGGGTGGGTCAGTTGGGGTGGTGTTGGGAAAAATGGGCAGGTGGGCATCTGGGGTGGTGGGAATGAGAGGTGGGTCGTCTGGGTGGTGATGGGGGCGGGCGGTGGGGCAGTTGGAGTGGTGGGAAATTAGAGGTGGGGCAGTTGGGTGGTGGTGGAGTGGTGGAAATGAGTGGGGGTCAGTCTGGAGTGGTGGGAATCAGAGGGAGTCGTTGGAAGGTGGAAATGAGTTGTGGGTCATTTGGGGGGTGGAGATGAGCAGGGGATCGTTGGAGTTGTGAGAAATTTAGTAGGTGGGTCACCTGGGGTGGTGGGGGGTGGTGAAGGATGAGAGGGAGTCATCGGAGTGGTGGTATGGTGTGGTGGAGAACTGGCAGGTGAGTCAGTTGGGTGGGATGGAGTTGTGGGAATTGAGCAGGGCGTCAGTCTGAGGGGTGGTTTAAAGGGTGGTGGGAATTTATTTGTTGAGTCCCGGAGTTTTTGGTAGGATGTGGTGGAGAAATGAACAGGTGGGTGAGTTGGAGTGGGGGTGTGGTGTGGTGGGAAATGAAGGTGGGGAGTTGGAGTGGGGTAGTGGTGTGGTGGAGAATGAACGGTGGGTTTGATTTGTGTGGGGGTAGGGGTGGGGGGAGAATAAACAGGTGGGCGTTGGAGTGGGGGTGGGTTGGTGGAAAATGAGCAGGTGGGTCAGTTGGAGTGATGGTGGGTGTGGGGGAGAACTGAACAGGTGGGTCATTTGGGAGTGATGGTAGGGGTTGGTGGAGAATAAAAGGGTGGGTCAGTTGGAGTGGTGGTAGGGGTGTGGGGGAGAAACTGAACAGGGGGGTCAGTCTGGGTGGTGTTTGGTGGGGTGGAGAATGAACGGTGGGTCAGTCTGGGGATGGTGTGGTGTGGTGGAGCTGAACAGGGGGTCTTCGGAGTGTGGGTAGGGGTGTGGGGGAAAAAATGAACGGTGGGTAGTCTGGAGGGTGGAGTGGTGTGGGGAAACTGAACGGGGGGTCATCGGGAGTGGTGGTAGTGGTGTGGGGGGAGAATGAAAGGGGGTCAGTTGGGGGGTGGTTGGTGGGTGGAAAATGGCAGGTGGGTCATCTGGAGTGAGGGTTTTGGGGTGTGGGGGAGAATGACAGGGGGTCGTGGATGGGGTAGTGGTGTGGTGGTAAAACTGGCAGGTGGGTTAGTGTGGGGGTTTGGTTTGGTTGGTGTGGTGGTGAAATTTGGAGGTGGGTCAGGGGGAGTGGTGGTGTGGGTTGTGTAAAATGAGGAAAGGGAGAAGTTTTTGGACTCTTATCAACGAGGGTGAGGGGGGCCCAGACATTGTCGGGAGTGGACTCTCCACAGTTCCAACCCCCACTCAGGACGCGAGAACCTCGGAGGTCGTCTTTGAGCCCCCCAACCTCCACTACCCCCGGGGGAAAGGGAAAGAAGGTACGTCAAGTGTACACTGGCAGTTCCTGGGGTCACCCTTTGCACTGTGCCTTAAAGAAGTGTAAGGGGTTAGAAACCCTTTTTAGGAAAGTGAAATATAGATCATTTATGGAAAAACAAATTTTCAACAATAGGACATTTTACGGAAAGGTTTTTTCCTGGTACTTGGTATTCAAAAATAATATGGGTAGAAAGAAGGTTTTATAGTCAGAGGAAACCCGAGGACAGTGAGGGGTTTGGGGGATTTAGATCGTTTTGTCGTTTGCGTGTATTTTTGGGAGTGGGAAAGGGGATGCTTTTTCGGCTCTCTGTAGTAATGTAATGGGAATATTTAAATTCCTATTGTTTTATTAAGTATTTGTTTTGCTTTAAGGGTTTAACTTTTGGGTTCTGGATTGGTTCTTTGAAGATATCTGTGCAAAGCCCCAAAGACAGAAGTCCCCCGTGTTTCTTGATAACAAGCATTATTGGTCCCCTCTCGAAATGCATTTTTGTGTTTCCTTATCCTTTGGCCGCTTCTACTGTTTTTCCCAAGTTTTTTTTTTCAAGGCCACATGTAATTGGTGACCCCGTATGGAAATGGTTGGGAGTAAGTTCTTGTTAGTGAGTTTCGTGGCTGGCGCCGCAGTTGACAAACGAAAGTTGTTCCTAATCGTGATGTGATATATTAATGGTATTGCTTAGGGATGACCCCCTTTCTTTGTGGTTGTTTTTGTGTGCCCTTTGAGGAGGCTTCTCCCCTTTTCTGCAGTCATGTACGAAGAATGAGTGAATGAAGTCCCCAAAAATTTTAAGAATTAGGTGCTTTTCCTGGAGGAAAATGGGGTTGAGATAGTTAAACTTAGGACCCCTACCCCCCCTTTTGAGTGGTGAGATGGCGTTAATGTTTCGGCTAGTTTTTGCTGTTACGTTGTGGCTTTGTACTGCTGCTGTGATGATCCCTTGTTGATATTTGGGTTATGGCAATCATGGCTCCTGGTAACTGTATCTAAGAGTCTTTGTCTCTTTCGGATGCATGTGGTTAATTTTAACCCCAGGTTCATTGTACACTGACGGTATACCTACCACTTCAATCGGTTTCTCAAGAGAAGGACGTGCCTGCATCGTTTCACACAATTACAGAGGTATACTCACCTTTGAGTCCTCCTCCGTCAGTAGCCACAACCTGGATGGTGTAGCGCTGGGTCTTCTCACGGTCGAGGCAGCAGAGCGCCGTGGTGATGAGACCCAGCTGACTGTCGATACTGAAGATAGCGCTCCCACTCGACTCGTCAACGGCATTCTTCTCCAGCGAGTAGGTGACCTGAGCGTTGTCAGCCTCTAGTGGGTCATCATGGTCAGTGGCCTTCACCTGCACTACTGAAGCACCTGCAGTTCGTCATGAATAAGTTATGAAAGAGATTCTTTGCTCACAAGCACTCACAATTAATAGCTAATTTCATGCACATGTCAATACAGTACGTTTAGCACTTCCCTAATAATATAATAACAATAGCTCGATCGCTACCGCACTCAGCTTACACACTGAGGCCCGGAGTTCGAATCTCCTCCGGTACGGCTGGAAAACATTAGGGACGTGTTTCCATAAGACACCTACTGTCCCTGTTCACCTGTCAGTTTAAAATGGGTACCTGGGTGTTAGTCGACTGGTGTGGGTCGCATCCTGGGGCAAAACTGACCGAATTTGCCTGAAATGCTCAGCATAATAAGCGACTTTCTATATACTGTAGTAGTATATCATTGATGTCAGCTAGGCCTGTATGCCATGTACATGTACTTGTAAGAAATGAAGATATTATATTATAGATGCATTTCGTTTGCTGCGCGATCCGAGAAAAGTTTGCTTATATTTTTCACCTTGCTGTTTATAAAAATAATCCGGGTCATCATTCACATATTACCTACAGGATTTTTCCATGAATTCACATATAAAAAGTATCTATCAACTATTCTCGTCACATCCGTTCATCCAGTCCTTCGTGTAAGGAGGATGGGAGAGGGGTGGGGGGTCTCAATCCGTCTTAATCCACCCATCCATTCATCACTCTTCACTCCATTCCCAAACAAATGGAGCGGAACAGGTGCATCTGGAGTTACAAGAAAACACTAGACAAATGGGAGAATTTATCAAGCTGTTAAACGCGATATTTATAGCGCAGATTCTAAAGCATTACACTACTTTTTTGTGAGAGCAGTGAAGGGGGGAGAACACACACACACACACACACACACACACACACACACACACACACACACACACACACAGTGGAGAAGGCATGAAATAATTGCAAGACGACATGAAGAGACCATGAAGATGTTCATAGAAATGACTACCGGAATTCAGTCACTGAAAGTAAACAATTACTGTATGAACATTGGGAAAGGTAAAAGACAGCCACTGACAGATTATAGATTGGAGTCACAGATCATGCACACTTCCCCCCCCCCCAAAAAAAGGAGAAGGATCATGGAGTGAGTAAATTACCCAGCGATAAGACAATTGTGTCCTGGTCAAATGTGTCCCGGTCCTTGGCGTCCCTGGACATTTTCGTCCCTCTTTTTTTCGTCCGAGACATTTGTGTCCCAGTATCGCCGAGGGAGGGGCATATATAAATACAATAGTGCCAGCGTCACATGAGCCCTTGTTAATCTTGAGAACAGCCTTCAGAATCTCGGCAAAGAATCATTCACGTCGCTGCTAAGGTTTAGCATGTTGCATTAACAACCACTTATACTGTGCATATATGCGAGTTTTCTCCACTTTATTATCTTCAGTAAAGGCTATTTCTTGCTGGCACCATGGAAACGCTATGAGGCTAATCGTTATCAGTGCAGAGTTTAATGTGAATGCTGCATTACTCCTTAATCCACCTTAATGATTCAATGTCTTTTCACTGGACATGTGACACTATACGTAATATTAAACTACGTCAAAACTGCAAAATATACTCGTAGTTGTTACACAATAAATCAGAACGCAAATATTAGGTAAAGTTACACTTCAACAACCCTTCAAATGATTCTCAAAAAAATGTTGAAGGTAAATATCTAATTGCAGTGTTATTGCAATTACAACAACTGTTAGCACGTGTTAATAACTCGATATAGTTCTAAGAGTATTGTCTAAATCGAAAGTGATAATCTAGAAATATTACCAATTTGGGAAGCCTATCATCAGTTGACTGTACTTCACAAGTTTGTAAAAATGATAGAATTACCGACAGAATGTTATGTAAATGGACACAGATGCAACTAATGGGACATTTTACTGTGGCTACATTTCGGTTTGTCAAGCCGTGACAGTCGTGTCACAACCTGATAAAGCTCCTGGAGAGTGAAACGTTACCACAATAAAATATCACATTAGATGCATCTATGTCCATCTGCCCCACAAGTTGGTGAATATACGCAGGAAACACTGCCTTATTTAGCCTATAGACACTGAGCTAAGTTGCACTGTCTAACAAACTAATGAGACTTATTAAAGGCAACACATATACACTGCCTATCTTGTAATGCTACGTGGATAACTAAACAATAATAACATACCACTCTATGGTATCGAGCCTCAATGTAAAATATTACTACTAGAAATACACAGAATATATTAATTTAACCTTCCTGCGATGCTTTGAAAATCAATCGATTAGCAATGAATAAGTCATTGTATACATTTCTTACCAAATCAGGAGATACCCAGGTTATCCAGGTGTGTGGACAAGTGTACCAAACTGACATATCTAATTTCCCATGTGCATTGTTGTGTTAAGAGTGAAGCTTAGCCACACTATATTTTTCAACCTAATGAAGTCTGTATGAAGCTTCACATCCGAGCTCGAGGGGCCCTGGAGAAGACTAACATCATTTGAGTGTAAAACAGTGGTCTTGAAACTGGCAGATGGAGTTAATTACATACGCTCATCAGTATAAATTTGCGTAGCATAACGTCCAATATGGCTGATAAGTGTAAAGTCAAGTGACTAGAGTCGAGTGTTTGTATAACCTCAGTACACATGCCAGACCCACCAGAGAGTATGCAGCACCTTCCAGAATCCCACACCTGATCATACATATCAAGGAACTAGAAAAATCCTCGAGGCCTGTTGATAGGCCGGGCAGCGGGGGGCGTTGACCCTAGAAACATCCTCCAGGTATACTCCAGGTATTATAACAAGACTGATCACAGAGTTGAAATGGGGTTACCTACAAAAAGAAGCTAAAAGATCTGAAAATTATCTCTGATTACTCAAAGGAAGAGATTTTGGTTTGCAAGAGCTAATAATAACCGATATAAGAGGAAAACTCTCTGGTGGGGAAAAGTTACAGTCACATGGAACAAGACTTACCTTAATAATCATTTTATTCAATTAAAAATATTCTCCAGAATGAATAAAAAATCATATATATATATATATATATATATATATTATATATATATATATATATATATATATATATATATATATATATATATATATATATATATATATATATATATATATATAATATATATTATATAATTGACCAGTTTTTACATATTCGGCACGATACATACATATATATATATATATATATATATATATATATATATATATATATATATATATATATATATATATATATATATATATATATATATATATATATATATATATATATATGTCGTGCCGAATGGGCAGAAATTGCGATCTTGGCTTAAATAGCAACGCTCATCTTGCCATATAGGACAAGTGAAAATTTGTGTATGCAATAATTTCGCCAAAATCATTCTGAACCTAATGAAAAAAAATATATTTCACTGTGTTTGTTTAGTATTAAATTATTGTAAACAAATCTAAAATATATTTAGTTGGGTTAAGCTAAAATAAATTGTTCTTGTTATAATAAGGTTAGGTAAGTTTTCTAAGTTCCTTTTGGTGCAAAATTAAAAATTTTTACATTAATATTAATCAAAAAAATATATCTTTAAACATATAAGAGAAAATTTTAGAAAGGATTTAATTTTAAATAAGTTCTTGCTAATTGACCAGTTTTACATATTCGGCACGACATATATATATAATATATATATATATATATATATATATATATATATATATATATATATATATATATATATATATATATATATATATATATAATATATATATATATTAATTAGAAGGTTTCTGACAAAGTACCGCACAAGGTACTGGAACGAAAGCTAGAGAAACAGGGAGAGATGACAGAGAAGGCACTACAAAACATCAAGGAATACTTAACAGAAAGGACACAATGAATCATTATCTGAAAAGAAGTGTCGGGATGGGCTCATGGGACGAGTGGATTTCCACAAGGATCAGTACTAGAACCTGTACTATTTCCTGTATATATGTACGACATGACGGAAAGATAATGTCAGAGGTATCTTTGTTCGCAGATGATGTGAAACTAATGAAGAGAATACAAACATGTGAAGACCAGGAGACTTCAACTGGATCTGGACAGGCTACAGGTCTCGTCTGACAAATGGCTACTAACGTTTAACCCAAGAATGTGCAAACTTACAAAGATTAGGGATGGGCAAAGAAGACTACAGGTGGAGTGCAGGCTAGGGGGAGAGAAAAAAAATTCAAATCTCACTCAAAGAGGACCTCGGGGCGAACAATTTGCCGAGAATATCACCTGAGGCGCACATAAATTGCTACGGTAAACGCTCGACTGGCAAATCTAAGATTAACTTTGAGGAACATAAGTAAATTGTTCACGACACTGTATATGACATAAGTCGGGCCCATACTAGATTATGCAGCATCATTATGGAGCCACATCTTATCAAGCATATCAAGAAACTGAAGAAAGTGCAGAGGTTTGCAACGAGACTAGTTCCGGAGCTAAGGGTTGTTTGTGTGCTATGAAGAGAGATTAATGAGGCTAAATCTGATGACATTAGATGAAAGAACTAAGGGCGATATGATAACAACATACAAATGAGAAAAATTGACAGGATACACAGGGACACATTGTTAGAGAGATGGGAAACAGAAACATGGGCGTACAGCTGAAAACTGAAAGCGCGGATGAGTCACACCATTGTGGTGGTTAGGAAGTGGAATGGCCTGGACACTGGAGTGGTAGAGGCAAGATCCATACACAGTTTTGAGGAAGTGGAAGTGTGATAAGGCTCTCGTAGTCAGGAGACTGGGAACGCAGTAGCGCCCAGCGAAGGAGGAGGGCCAGGCACTAAGACACGACCTCTGCAACCACATGGTGAATACTTATAGATGAATGCACGAAAACATCTCATTTTATTTATCAATCTCTCCTCTCCTTCCTCTCTCTCTCTCTCTCTCTCTCTCTCTCTCTCTCTCTCTCTCTCTCTCTCTCTCTCTCTCTCTCTCTCTCTCTCTCTCTCTCTCTCTCTCTCTCTCTCTCTCTATGTCTATCTATCTATATATCTATCTATCTCATGGGGGATGGGATGGCGGCATCGGTGTGGGTGGGAGTGGGGGTGTCGGTGTGTGTATGGGTGAGATATGTTGTGGGCGTGTCCTCTGAGGCGTTAGAAGCGGTGGTGTGAGCGGCTCACGGATGACGTACCTTTGGACGTGCCTTCGGAGAAGGTGGTTGTGTGGGTGGGGAACGTACCTTTGGGCGTGTCCTCGGAGACGGTAGTTGTGGTGGTGTGGGAGGGAAAGTAAGGGGCGTTGTCGTTGATGTCCTTGAGGTTGACACGTACGTCGGTGTGCGCCTCCAGTTCTCCGTCCGACGCCGTCACTCGCAGTCGCCACTGAGCACGCCCGTGAGGAGGGTCACGATCCAGCGGCTGGGGAGAGGGAAAGTAAACAAGTGAAAGAGAAACAAGTAAGTAACCCTAGTGGGTAGAAAGTCTGGGTGATCTAACGTAGACTTCTGAAAGACAAAATACATCTCTGTCTGTTACGAGATTCGGTCGATTAAGGGATGAAGGATCGAGTTTCCAGCACTGTTGCATTGAAGAAAACACGGTTTTTCGCTATTTTAATTAACTAATACATTACTAATACATTCCTTCCTTGAGGAAACTTAAGGCACACGGAATAGGAGGAGAAGTTTTTTCCTGGGTAGAGGCATGGCTGACAAATAGACAACAGAGAGTTTGCATAAATGGGGAAAAATCAGAATGGGGGCACGTCACAAGCGGTGTTCCTCAGGGGTCAGTGTTGGGCCCGTTGTTATTCACAATTTACATAAACGACATAGATGAGGGAATAAATAGCGACATAAGACGGGCAGAAAGCAGCAACTTCACTCTGGCTGTACCCTTCTCCAGAACATCACTCCATCTGAGATCATACATACCCAGGATGACTAGAGTATGGAACACATTCGTACAGCATAATGATGTCAACGAGATAAAGTCAGTTGATCAAATGAAAATGCTGGCCCACAGATGGCTCCAACTTCATCCTGTTTCCTACTTGTATGTCTCATAACAATAAAAATGCTTTCAAATGAGCTGATGTAGGTAACAGCTCTTAGCTTGCCAATAAAGTTAGGAATCCTTAACCTGTAAATAGCTGTCAATAAAGCTAGGGATCCTTAACCTTGTCAAACCCTGTGTAAAAAAAAAAAAAAAAAAAAAAAAAAAAAAAAAAAAAAAAAAAAAAAAAAAAGCAAATTTGCTGATGACACTAAAATAGGCCGTCCAATTTATTCTAATGAGGACACTAGAGCACTCCAGGATGATTTGAATAGACTGAGGCAGTGGTGGAGAAGTGGCAGATGCAGTTTAATATTGACAAATGCAAAGTTCTAAATGTTGGACAGTTAAATAACCATGCCACATATAAACTAAATAATGTTGATCTTAATACTACTGATTGCGAAAAGGATTTAGGAGTTCTGGTTAGCAGTAATCTAAAACCAAGACAACAGTGCATTAGTGTTCGCAATAAAGCTAACAGAATTCTTGGCTTCATATCTAGAAGTATAAATAATAGAAGTCCTCAGGTTGTTCTTCAACTCTATATATCCTTGGTTAGGCCTCATTTAGACTATGCTGCTCAGTTCTGGTCACCGTATTACAGAATGGATATAAATGCTCTGGAAAACATACAGAGGAGGAATGACAAAGATGATCCCATGTATCAGAAATCTTCTCTATGAGGATAGACTGAGGGCCCTGAATCTGCACTCTCTCGAAAGGCGTAGAATTAGGGGGATATGATCGAGGTGTATAAATGGAAAACAGGAATAAATAAAGGGGCTGTAAATAGCGTGCTGAAAATTTCCAGCCAAGACAGGACTCGCAGCAATGGTTTCAAGTTGGAAAAATTCAGATTCAGGAAAATATAGGAAAGCACTGGTTTGGTAATAGAGTTGTGGATGAGTGGAACAAACTCCCGAGTACAGTTATTCAGGTGAAACGTTTTGTAGTTTTAAAAATAGGTTAGATAAATACATGAGTGGGTGTGGGTGGGTGTGAGTTGGACCTGACTAGCTTGTGCTGCTGGGTCCGGTGCAGTGCTCCATCCTTGAGTGGAGATGACCAGACTGGGTGGGTCTTTGAGCTAATCCGGGGGGGGACATTGGTCTAATCCGGGGGGGATATGGACCTGCTCCCCATGGGTAAGTAGGCCTGTTGCAGTGTTCCTTCTTTCTTATGTTCTTAAAAGCGGCTTGAGAAGTCATCAGGTGATCACGTTATCTGGAAAGATTCGGAGATGAATTTCTTTCCATACATCTCAATGAACCACACAACGATACTCAGAAATCAATGTAAATCATTTTTGAAGACCTACCCAGTGAATTACAATGTTTAGAAAAAAAATCAGCGAGATACTTGCTGCCTCCTTCAAATCGGTGCATAATAGCACACATAAACATTATTCATTCACACAGCGACCAGAAAAAAAAATTACCTATCATTCACTGCCTCCCAAGAATCAACAGTCACTCAACCCGCAACCCCATAGAAATCGACCAGCTATATACACTAAAAAAAAAATGGACAAACTCAACCCCATCCCCCCAGATAGCCAATTAAATATTTACTCCCAAGTATCACTGTATAAATCTTATGCAAATCCGACAAGTAGATGAATAACAAATGTGCAACACATATGCAATAAGTGTTGCAAATGCGTCTTATGCATCCATTAGTCACATTCTCCGATGAATCTTGTAATCACGCACGGCGCCCCGAGAACGAGCCAGTTATCACCCTCTCAAAAACTACCAAATTAAAAACTGTCTCCCTGAAAATAAACAATCTCTAACCAATAATAATCCACTTCCGCCCTGCCCTACCAAACCAGCCAACTCCAGAGTCAAGTGCATCCCAGACATCACTAACCAGTCTCCCTTCCTTCTATATATAGCCATCATTCGCACTTTCCAAGAATGATCAATCAAGTGCTCCTTCCCAAAAATAACCAGTCAATCAGACATCCTTTGCCAAGAAGCAGACCAATCGTAAGTAGAGGCAATTGAAAGGCACAAACAAGACAGTCAACCTTTCGTGTCAGAAAAATGAAGCTCATATGAGTTCCCTCAGCGAGAACAAATACTTAGTAATGATGTTAGGAGGAGAATAAAGCTTGCTCTCTCTCTCTCTCTCTCTCTCTCTCTCTCTCTCTCTCTCTCTCTCTCTCTCTCTCTCTCTCTCTCTCTCTCTCTCTCTCTCTCTCTCTCTCTCTCTCTCTCTCTCTCTCTCTCTCTCTCTCTCTCTCTCTCTCTCTCTTTCTCTCTCTCTCTCTTTCTCTCTCCACAACCCACACATAGCTCAGGAAAGGGAAAAGGGAAACAATCATTGAAGGGAAACATGAGTGCATAGCAGAGGCGGTAAAAAGGGAGAGTGATGTCAAAAGTGTTGGCTGAATAGTTGGTAATTATTGTGTGTTTGTGTAATCACCAGTATGTTGTTGCAGGGGTCGATTCATAGCTCCTGGCCCCGCCTCTTCATTTTATATATATATATTATATATATATATATATATATATATATATTATATATATATATATATATATATATATATATATATATATATATATTTATTATATTATTTATATATAAATGAGTACAAACACACACACTCTAATTTATTGTGGGTATGTACTCATCTAATCTCACCTAATTGTGGTAGCAGGGGGCGAGTCATAGCTCCTGGCCCCGCCGCTTCACTGGTTGCTACTAGGTCCACTCTCTCCCTGCTCCATAAACTTTATCGTACCTCTTCTTTAAGCTATGTATGGATCCTGCCTCCACTACATCACACTCCAGACTATTCCACTTCCTGACAACTGTATGACTGAAGAAATTATTCTTAACATCGCTGTGACTCATCTGAATCTTCAACTTCCAATTGTGACCCCTTGTTGTTGTGTCCCATCTCTGAAATATCCTCTCAATATCCAACTTGTCAGTATCCCTCCTGTCTTCCAGAGTTGTCAGGTCGATTTCCCTTAACCTCTCTTTCTAGGACATACCTCTTAGCTCCGGGACTAGTCTTGTTGCAAACATTTTCACTTTCTTTAATTTCTTGACGTGCTTGTCCAGGTGTGGGTTCCAAACTGGTGCTCCATAATCCAATATAAGCCTGACGTACACGGTGTACAGAATCCTCATTGAGGTGTCAGAACGCTATGTGTTAGTGTGTGTGTGTGTACTCACTTAATTGTGGTTGCAGGGGTCGAGACTCAGCTCCTGGCCCCGCCTCTTCACTGATCGCTACTAGGTCATCTCCCTCTCTGCTTCCTGAGCTTTGTCATACCTCTTCTTAAAACTATGTATGGTTCCTGCCTCCACTACTTCACTTGCTAGGCTATTCCACTTCCTGACGACTCTATGACTGAAGAAATATTTCCTAACGTCCCTGTGACTCGTCTGAGTCTTCAGCTTCCAACTGTGACCCCTTGTTTCTGTGTCCCCTCTCCGGAACATCCTGTCTCTGTCCACCTTGTGTGTGTGTGTGTGTGTGTGATACTTTTCTAAGGAGGGACACAAAGGCAAATAGGCACATAAACAGATGCACACACACAGACGCACAGAGATTGTCACACAGGCGAACACTACAGTAAATTATTAAAAGACATGCTGTGAGAATGGACACAGACGAGAGTGTAAAATAACCTCCCACAGAGCCATCAGAGAGGGAAATAGCCGAGAAAACGGGATCAGAGAGTGGTAGACTCGCTTAGAGGTCGTTTGAAGTCTACAGCAGAATCGCTGGATGCTCGTTAGTGCAAAAGGACCTCCACAGCCATGCCATCATATTTAGGAAATGGTGAAGAGAGATGTGTGTGTGTCCCGCCGTGCCTTAAAATTCCGAAGCAGTGCTCTATTCACTGTAGGATTTCCTCTATTTGAGAATATGTGTGTGTGTGTGGTTAAGAAAACTGTCAGGCACAGAAATGCTACAAGGAAGAAAAATATTATGTGTGGCTTGAGGGATAAAGAGAGCTGCTACCCACGTCAATACAAGAGTCAGCTGGTGGTAATTACCAGCAACATGAGGGAAGGAAAGAGTTGAGCCAGTAAAATGACGCATTTAGTAAGTGTATCAGTGAGTGCGTATACCCAAAACAAACATAAAGTGTCTAGCGCGTGCACATGCACACAACACATGAAGTAGCAGTGCCATCGTTGCTGATATGCGCAACAGGCTCACTGTGTCTGGAGAATGCGTATAACCAACGCATCCAGTAAGAGTAGCCAACCAGGGTAAATACACACCACGTGACAAGTTAGTCTCTTTTAACTACCACCAACACCAATCCTGTGGGTGGTAGTTAAAAGATTACGGAAGCATATAATGTGACTTGACGGAATGATACCAGTATGCT